GAGCACTATCTGACTTTTGGATAGTTTGTCCAACATCCAGCGTAGAGCACACTCAGCCAGAGGGAAACATCAGGGTTCAAGGATGAAGGAAAGCATCTGACCTGAAGTTTATCAGTGAAGAATGTGAGGAAAATGTTGTCTAAAGGTCTGTCTTAGTTAGACGTTGATTTTCTGTCCTTGACCTGTTCTTACAAAGCAGCATTTTGTGTTTCAGGGTGTTTCTGCCAGTGTTGTCAGCCCGACACGTCAGAGAGCAGCATCCTGTTGAAGGTGATGCTGAGACAAACCCGTCACTGGAGGCTTCAGAGTGTTCAGAAAACACAGACATAAGAAGAAATGCAACCAAAGCTGAGTAAACGTGCACATTTCTCTGATGAGTAAACTGGAGATGTGGACAATCCTAAAACACTCACAGGAGCCAAACATTAAAATGAAAAGATGAAAGTTAAGAGAGAAACAGGCTACCATGGCTCTACAGTGTAAATGATAATAATAATGACTGAGAGTCCTGCGTTACACCTAAAGCTTTACACTGACAGAGATGTGACCAACAGCAGCTATGTGACGCTCATGTCCAGGTCAGATGATGGCTGCTGTCAGTGCACACGGGCGACCCATCTGAACAGGTCAACTCACAAAGCCATGACTATTTGGTAGAGCAAAAAGACTAAAGCTCTGCAGGTCAACACGTGTTCCAGATGGACGGCGCCACGGCCATACCGGAGTGTGTTTGGGTTTGAGGAGGACTGACACATCCACAGACAGAACACAACATACCGGCGCTCCGTCTCTAGATGTAAACAGAACTTCACCGTGTTGGAACCTGCAGTCACTTTCATCTGCAGCGTTAATTACACCATCAGACACGTGAAAGCCGAGTCCTGCTGCTCTGCGCTTGAGCTGTGACTGAACGTCTGATGTGGAGCTCACACACATTCACTCTGCTGCTGGTTGGTTCGCCAGCGAGACGCACAATAACAGCTCACTGCTTAAATTCATCAGACCACCTGTCCAACCTGTTTAATCCACACTCAGCTCTGGACGTTCTGCTGTTCTGACAGAACGAGGAACCAGAGCCGGATCACTGGGCTTCTCTGAGAAGTCACAAATCAATCAAGCATCACGTTCAGCCACTAAAGCTCATGTTTCTGTTCAGGAGTGCAGGTAAATCACTGTCATCTGACGTCTGAATCAAGAAATAATAATGTGCTTTACTATGGATAACAACAATAACTATATTTCTGTTACAGAGCTTCTACATGCTGGTGTACCAACAGAACCATGAACAGTCCTTGTGGTGTTACTACTGCTGTTTATTTAGCATAGCTGTGGCATGAACCCGACACTGGGTGGTGGTCTGATCACTTTGTTAAGCGCTGTACATCACTTTTTAAATCACTCACAGACGGGCAGAGAGCAGAGCAGCAGTGAGGCTGTGGTTCGCCTGGCTGGGTCTGACATCTCTGGAGTTTGATAAATCCAGAAACAAACGGTCATTTGTCACAACTACACAATTAAATGAAAAATTCAAGAAAAGTGTTCTGATAACACGCCAAGAGATTCTGAAAACACGTCTTTACATGACGTCAAGTGCCAGGTTCTCATGAAGTAGAACTAACCCAAACCCTCATCCAGCCGCCGTGTGCTGGATCAGAACCTCACACGTTTAGTTTGTGATACTTCGATCTAACACGACTTTATTCAGGAAACTGTGATCTGAAACCGCTGACTGATTGCCTGATTGTAGTGTACAGATTTTTCTTTTTTTAAGTAGATTTTAATTAGTAGACTTTGGATCAAGTCAAATCATATTCCTCCTATTTCTAATAAAAGCAGAAGTTGCCCCAGTGTGCAGCAGAGACAGAGACAGGCCGTTTGTTTCTCCTTCTCGGTCTTCATGCTATGCTAGGCTAACTACATCCGGTCCTTCTCAGTCTTCATGCTATGCTAGGCTAACTACATCCGGTCTTTCTCAGTCTTCATGCTATGCTAGGCTAACTACATCCTGTCCTTCTCAGTCTTCATGCTATGCTAGGCTAACTACATCCTGACGCTGTCCGTTTTCTGTGTCATTGACTGTTATAATTGTTCATGCAGAAGCTTTCTTGTCCACCCTGGTGGTGTTCTATTAGAGGCAGGACAGGTTCTGACTGTGTGACTCACAGCGTCCAGACCTACGATCAGCTCACAGCCTGTTTGTTTTTCCTTATGGCCTCATAAAAGTCATGTGGTCCAGTCCTCACTCTGACTCCATGCAGTCTGTGTGCAGAATGTGAGAACCAGTCAGTCAGACGGTGTGCATGAGGCCCAGGGCCAGATCATATATATCACATCATGTATGTACACTGGGCAGTGTGACGTGTGGCTTCCTGCCCTCAGGTACGACAAGTGAAGCAATCAGGAGTCAAACTAGAACATAACTAGTAAGGCTGTAAAAAAAGGCCGTGAACAGCCTCCACATCGATGATTCACGTGTCTGCACTGGCACTCTACCACATGTAACCTCTGTGTTGGCTTTAAACTCACTCCAACCACATCTAAAAGACAAAGTGTGTCGAGCTGATCTCAGTCCAAGCTGGGATGAACCAAAAGCCTAAACTGTTGGTTTCTGCATGAAGCAGAGTATTATTGTCAGAACGCTCCACCTGTTAGCTGATCTGAGACGATGTGAAGCTCATAGCATTGAAGTGGATGTGATTTGGCTCTGCACACACACAGCTTAGTGCTGAGGTGACGTCGTCTGAATATGAAATTATCAACACATCTGCCAACATCCAACAGAAACACAGCTGGTTATTGGCCAAACAAGTCTGCTGAGTCCTTTTATGAAAACTCTGTAAAAACAACTCTTATCATCCAGTGTGATGGTCACAAGGCTGCAGCAGAAGCAGAGTCCAGCTCCTCTGCCACTTCAGCATAGACTTTAATACCGATGTGTTTACAGACGGAGGGCGCTTGGTGAGCGGCTGTAGGTGTCCTGTGATAAAAGTGGCTCTCTGTCCGGCCACTGTGGCTCTCACTGACAAAAACAGTAAAGGTCACTGATATAGAGGTCGTAAGCAGAGGTTTCCCTCATCTCATGCCATCAGACTCTTTACCTGACAGTGCTGACAGCTGAGGATGGGGGGAGGAGACTCCACCACCTGGCTCTCTGCATACCTCCATGAACATGGCCACTGAATCTGGCTGCTGGACTGCCGGTGCCAGTTTGAACGTTTCTACACATCAGACCAGCCTGAGTGAGTGTATTCTGTCACATGAACAAAGTGAGTGGCTAATGAAGAGGTTTTAGGTTTTACTGAAATACCTGCTTTGGACATGATGAGCTGACATCTGGCCGGCTGACAGACCGAACCAGGTAAAAGTTCTGTACTTTGTAGGAAATGACTGCTTCTGTCCCTATAAGCAGATGTTGGCGGGGGTAAACACAGCCCATGAGCAAATACAGGAGGTACCACGGTGTTGGTGTCAGAACCGTAGCACCAGCATCTGGTTCCACTGAGGACCGGCACACAGCGGCTCTGCCTACAGCACACCTCTGAGCCTACATATGCAGCCATTTCAGGCTCAGGAAGAACTGGGCCTTGAGCCACAAAAACGCTGTCATCAGGGTGAGAGACAGACCAAGGTTTGGGTGTGAAGAGCTTCTCTGTTGAAGTTGGTAAAAACTGTGGTCATGACTAAAACCATCGCCACATGTTTTGGTGTCCCATCCATCCACCCTGACCTCCTCCTGCTGAAGTTTTGTGGCTCGTCTGGCTTTTGGTCCTAATAGACAGGACCACTTGGTTCGGTGGACATGGCTGGTCATTCAAACAAACATCTTTCTGGGGACAGGTCTGTGGATGGAACTCTTTACTGGTTTCACTCTCTGACTGGATGAAGGAACCTCTTAAGTGGAAAAAATACAAAAGTCTCTGCAAGAACTTCATCCTCCACTTCTTTAAATGTTAGACTCTACAACAGCCCCTGAACCACCTCATACACAACGGTACAAAACTCCCAAAGCACTGAGTCACAGAACATCCTGGGACAACCTCACCGGGCCGAATCACAATATGGCGCTCTTTATGTTTACACGAGGAAGAGGTGTGTATGAAGGTGTGTGTGTTGGGGGGAGTGTGTGTAATGAAGCTGAAGCAGATGTTTTCTGAGGTCATGATGAAGCTCTGTATCCTCAGCAGGTCTTCCTTCCTCTGTGACTGTGTGAGCTGGACGTGGACTAAGGATGTCCTTCATAAACAATCTGCCGCCCACACAGTCCACTACAGCTCCTCTGCTCTACTGTTAGTGATGCTGGTCTGTTCTAGGACTGAGCTCTGAGCTGTCAGCCTCTGACAGGTGATGTGGTCTTAATGCTGTTTTACATGCAGTGAACTCACATGATGTAAGCATATGTGACGTGTCTGTGAAGATCCTCAGTCCTCCAGCTCATGGTTGTTCTCATGGATTAATCGTAGCATATCCTTAATGAGACATTAACACCTGAGTTTGGGTTCATGGCTCCTTCAGGATATCAGTATCTGGATCTCCCAGCTAGTCAGATGAAGCCTCTTGGATGAGAGGTGGAACGTCTTCAAGGAACTCAAGCAGGTCCAGCTGCTACGATTAATCTACCAGAAGAACCATATGTGACTTTCAAATGTTCCACATGAACTGAGACAACAAGGTTAAAAGCATGACGTCCACATATGATGTCCCATCAGACAGCATGTCGTTTGTGACAAGTTCCCATGATGTCCATGCCAAGACGTGATCATCAGAGAACACCAAGCTCAGAGTTTGTACATGTGAAAAAAAATATTTCCTGACACACATTCTGTAGATATTTCATGTTCAGAAAGAGACACGATCACAACATCGGACCACCTGCCTGATGTTGTGTAAGGCTCACAGCCAAAGCAGCTCCGACGTGTCTCCACAACACCTGTGGAGGTGTCCCGTGGTGTCAGGCACCAAGACGTGAGCAGCAAAAGGATCACACTTGTTTCCCAGCACAGATGCTTGAGTGGATTGAGATCTGGGGGACTCTGAAGGCCAAGTCACCCCCTTTAACTTTCTGTCATGTTCTCCAAAGCACTGAGCAACGTCTGCAGGGCAGCAGGGAGCTAATCCTGAGGAACGAGGACTCCAGGATACTGGTGGTGGTGAAGAGGTGTACGTGGCCTGCAGCAGTGTTTAGGTGAGTGCTGCTGTCAGAGGACCATCCATACGAATAACAGGACCTAAGATTTCCCAGCAGAACATCGCCCACGGTATCACTCTGTCCTGCTTGCCTTCCTCCAACACTGACTCCTGCTGCCATCTGAAGCGCTCTGAGCAGTTGATAGCCTCACACAACGCAGGCTGGTACACAAGAGCTTTCTATCACAGCAGCATTCACGGTTTGCAATTCTAGAAAACAACTGTTGATATTCAGTTGTTAGCATATTCATATAGTCAGCATGTACCTGTTGACAGTGGAATGGGATCAGTCAAAGCCACTTTGCTCCCCGTTTACAGAGCCTGGGCATGTGGCACATGAACACCACACACATCTACACAGAGCAGCCAGCATACGGCCACTGAATGGGACAGAAAGTGGACGAGGTCTTTGTCATCGCTGTATCTCTGAGGTTCTCAGGCATTTGTGCTACAATAGATCTCCTGTGGC